AGGAGGTCAGACTTCCAGGGCTGCCCTAGATGTCGAGGCTGCTGCCGCCTTCTCTGCCAGGAGCTGGGGTGGGTGAAGGGCCTGCGTGAGTGGGCAGCGGGGGGCAGTGGGGGGCAGTGGGGAAGATGGGAGAGATGACAGAAGAGTGATGAATGGGGGGTGCTGAGAGATGTGCCTGGGGCATGAGACTGGGCCAGCTTTTGGGGACCACAGACAGTGCTGCAAGGGTGAAGCTCAGGTCCCCAGATGCCATCTCTTTCTACTTATGGTCTGGGAATAGCCTGGGAAGCTGGGGTGGGCTCCCCCACTGGAGCGACAGCTCTGGAGGGCGTCAGGGCCCATTCAGCTCCCCGGCGCACAGTAGGTGCAGATGCGCTCTGCAGTGTCAGGAGTCAGCTGACCTGGACTCAGCTCCTGACCCCGCCCCAAGGTGTGATCTGGGGCAAGTGTTCCACCTTCCTGGTAATGGTCTCCCAGGCCTGTGGCTTCAATAACTGCTGTTGTTACTTCTACATGTGTGCATTGCATTGACCCATTTTCCGGGTGCCTGTAGCATAATGACATCATAGACAAAAAGAAAAAAATTCCCCACTGTCTCTGCGAGAGAAGGCCAGTCCAGTGGCCTCGGACATCTGGGGTGGATGCTGGGAAATGGGGCTGAGTAGTGCCCCTACCTGGACCTCAACTATATCTCTGGGGTCCAGCACCTCCATAGGCTTAGGGGGCTAGCCTTTCCCCCATAAGCCCCACATGGAAAGAGAAGCCCCCAGCCCTCTACTCCCTTGATGGGGCTCTGATGGGCTACAACTGTCCTTCCGGACAGCAGGAAGACAGCGCCCCCTGGTGGCCAACTATGGCCTCACACAGATTTATTGTGGAGCTGCTGTTTCCTTCCTAAGGCACTATTTCCATAAGTGGTGTTTAAAAAGAAGTTTTTTTTCCTTTATTGATTTTTAGAGAGAGGAAGGGAGAGGGAGAGAAAGACAGAAACATCGATGAGAAGGAACATCGCCCTGGCCAGTTTGGCTCAGCGGTTAGAGCGTCAGCCTGCGGTCCAGAGAGACCCGGGTTCGGTTCCCGCTAAGGGCACGTACTTTGGTTGCAGTTTGTCCCCGGCCTTGGTTGGTCGTGCGGGTGGCAGCCACTTGATGTGTCCCTTCACGTCAATGTTTCTCTCTCTCTCTCCCTTCCTCTCCCTCCCTCCCACTCTATCTGTACAAAAAAATGGAAAAAATATCCTCAGGTGAGGATTAAAAAAAAAAAAAAAGAAGGAACATCGACTGGCTGCCTCCTGTACGCCCCCTACTGGGGATCTGGCCCACAACCTGGGCATGTGCCCTGACCGGGAATTGAACCAGCGACCTCTTGGTGCATGGGTCGACGCTCACCCACTGAGCCACACTGGCCAGGCCCATATGTGGTTTTGTACAATTGCTTTATTTATTTCTCTATGTCTACATACATGATCATTATTACCATCCCCATTTGCAAGCTTGTTGCAGATATTGTGATCCTTCACCCCAAACATGTGGCGTGTTTCTTCTCCAGCTAGGGCATGCCTGACGTCAAGGAGTTCCATTCAGGCCTTCAGCATCCGTGGGACAGAATCAGACGTAAAGTCCGTGTTCAAACTTCCCCAGTATCACAATATTCTCCTTCACAGCAGTGCCTCGACCCAGGGTCCCACCCGGACTGCATTCAGTCGTCCTTCGTTCTGGAACATCCCACAGCTCTCTTTGTCCTTTGTCGTTGGCATTTTTTTTTTTTTTTTTTTTTTATCCTCACCCGAGGACATTTTTCCATTTTTTGTACAGATAGAGTGGGAGGGAGAGAGAGGAAGGGAGAGAGAGAGAGAGAAACATCGACGTGAAGGGACACATCGAGTGGCTGCCACCCGCACGACCAACCAGGGCCGGGGACAAACTGCAACCGAAGTACGTGCCCTTAGCGGGAACCGAACCCGGGTCTCTCTGGACCGCAGGCCGACACTCTAACCGCTGAGCCAAACTGGCCAGGGCTGTCGTTGGCATTTTTGTGCGTGTGTGTGGTACGTGCCCCTAGCGGGAACCGAACCCGGGACTCTCTGGTCTGCAGGCCGACGCTCAACCGCTGAGCCAAACTGGCCAGGGCTGTCGTTGGCATTTTTAAAGAGCCCAGGCCAGTTGTTTGGTAGACAGGCCGTCAGTTTGGCTTTATCTGAGGTTTCCTCATGATTCACATCATGGACTTCTGGCAGAAAGACCACAAATGCAATATGTCCTTCTCTGAACATTTTTATTTTATTTTAAATATCTTTTAATTGATATTCTAGAGAGAGAGGAAGGGAGAGAGAGAGAAACATCGATGTGAGAAAAAAACATCAATCGGCTGCCTCCTGCATATCCCCCACTGGGGATCGAGCCTGCAACCCAGGCATGTGCCCCGACTGGGAATCGAACCAGGACCTCTCAGCCCATGGGACAATGCTCAATCCACTGAACCACACCGGCTGGGCAAAGAGTCGCAGGTTTGATTCCCAGTCAAGGAAACGTACCTCAGTTTCGGGTTTGATCCCCGGCTCCAGTTGGGGTGGGTTCAGGAGGCAGCCAATCGATGTGCCTCTGACACTTCGATGTTTCTCTCTCCCTCTCTCCTACTCTATCTGAAAAAAAAAAAAAAGGAAAAATAACCTCGGGTGAGGATTAAACAAATAAATAAATAGGAGCAGCCTGGGGCCCAGAGAGGGGAAGAGAATTGGGAACACAGTGAAACTCAAATGTCCTCTTTGCCCATAGTTGCTGTGTGACCTTGGGTGGGTGACTGCACCTCTCTGAGCTGCAGTTGCCTTACCTGTGACTGGGGTGGTGATCTGGCCCCAAAGGGCTGAGGATGGCATAGAGGAGGAGATGTGTGACTGGGGGTAGTGACAGGCAATACCGTGGGTTCCTGGTGTCTGCACCTTCCACCCTTCCATGGACACAGGGTGTGGTGGCAGGAGGTGAAGGGTAAGCAAGCAGCCAGGCTCCCCTCATCTGTCCCCCAGGCCCTGGGGAGTCCATTGCTATCACTGAGATGAGCAGGCAGGCCTGAGGGGGAAAACCCAGGCCCAGGACCCAGAAATTTCCCCACTCAGCAGGCCCAGCAAGGCTGCACCCTCACTCCCCACCCACCCCGCCCATAGGCTTCACTTGGGGAGGTGCTCTGGGCCGGGGAGAACCTCGGTGGTCCCGGCAGGTCTTTGCACCTGGAGAGGCTGTCGGGAGCCACAGGCTTGCTTGGGAGAAGGCGCTCCTGCTGGGGGGTGGAGGCTGGCGTGCGTGGGTGAAGGCCGTGCCATGTGGCTGGTAGTGTGCTGTGTCAGGTTATAGTCATTCCTGCAGGTTCATGGGGTGACGTATCAGGTGTGCAAAAAAAAGAATGTCATGCACGCTCCGTGTATCCACCCACCACCCAGTGCCTCTTCGCTGCTTCTGACTTAACAGAAAAAAGTTTTAATTTTTATTATTTCCTTGAGTGGAGAGAAGAGCAGAGAAGCCCCTCAGGCCAGCCAGGCCCCTGCGGTAGGGGATAAATGGCTTCTACTTTCCTCCCCCAAACCACATATCCCACAGGTGGCCACCTCCTGTCTGTCAGGCACCATCTCTGGCAGCGGTAGGGCGACATGTGAAGCATGGCTCCCTCTAGCCCGGCTTCTCCCCTCCCGCTCCCTTCCTGGAGCCCCTTGTTATGGGCCTGCCCCTCCCCCACCCCCTTCCTGGAGCTCCTCCTAGTGGGTCTGCCCCTCCCCCACCCCTTCCTGGAGCTCCTCCTAGTGGGCCTGCCCCTCCCCCACCCCCTCCTGGAGCTCCTCCTAGTGGGTCTGCCCCTCCCCTACCCCCCTCCTGGAGCTCCTCCTAGTGGGTCTGCCCCTCCCCCACCCCCTCCTGGAGCTCCTCCTAGTGGGCCTGCCCCTCCCCCACCCCCTCCTGGAGCTCCTCCTAGTGGGTCTGCCCCTCCCCTACCCCCCCTCCTGGAGCTCCTCCTAGTGGGTCTGCCCCTCCCCCACCCCCCTCCTGGAGCTCCTCCTAGTGGGTCTGCCCCTCCCCCACCCCCTCCTGGAGCTCCTCCTAGTGGGTCTGCCCCTCCCCTACCCCCCTCCTGGAGCTCCTCCTAGTGGGTCTGCCCCTCCCCCACCCCCTCCTGGAGCTCCTCCTAGTGGGTCTGCCCCTCCCCCACCCCCTCCTGGAGCTCCTCCTAGTGGGTCTGCCCGGAAACCTGCCCTGTGCTTCCCTTTCACTCTACCAGAAGGACAAAACCCCTTCCCCAGGTCTCAGCTGAGACTTTCCTCTCTTGAACCCCCTTCTACAAAAGGGGCTTCACTTTCCAAGAGCCTTAGTCCAGCTGATATGGCTCAGTGGTTGAGCATCCATCCCTGCACCAAGAGGTCGCCGGTTCGATTCCTGGTCAGGGCACACGCCCAGGTTGTGGGCCCGATCCCCAGGGAGGGGCATGCAGGAGGCGGCCAGTCGATGTTCTCCCTCATGGCTGTTTCTATCTCTCTTTCCCTATCACTTCTTCTCTCTCTTAAATCAATAAAGAAAATAAAAAACAAAAAAGCCCAAAGCGCCCTGGAAGTGTGGGGGAGCTGTGAAAAATGCATATTCCTGAAAGAAGTGAGTCTCGACCCTGCTTCACACCATGTACCAAGTGGAACCTCACGAACCAGTCGAGCAGACATTCGTACCCTGGGCCTGTGCCAGAGGCCAGGTGGGGGGCAACGGAATGGACCGAGAGAGGGGAGGGGGAGGGGATGTTGGTCCCCAGAGGCTGGGACTGGCTGGTGGGCTGGGTGTGAGCAGATGGGAGGCCCCCAGGTGCCCTGAGTGGTGGAGGTTCTGGAGATGCGAGATCCAGTGTCTCCGTCCTGGTTGCTCTTCTGGAACCTGCGGCTTGGTCTCAGGCCTGGCCTCCTGGGACCTGAGGGCCTGGAGGGAGGATGGATGTCTGGGACCCTGGGCCTCACCAGTTTGTCTTCCCCTCAGGGTCGAGCCCCCACGGACCCCTGTGTGGGAGACCCCAGCCGCTACTATGACGAGGCCGCCGGGAGGTGCTGTTACCGCTGCCCTGAGGGTGAGTGGGGTGCTGGGCTGGGGAAAAGGGGGTTGGGGCTGGGAAAGACAGGAGCCCATGTCCTCACTGTCGTGTGGATGGCAGGTTCTGAAGGCCATGCCTCTGCCCTTTATAGAACGTGGGCTACATACACACGAGCCCGGACGGTCACATGCAGGCTTCATCTCGCGGACCCTTGCCGGCAGCCTTTGTCATCCCCGTTGTACAGATGAGGCTGGTGGGGGTGCTGCAAGATTAGTAACTTGCCCAAGGTCATGAGCTGGGAGCTGTAGAACTGGCCTGGGCTGGAGCCCAGGGTTCCCTGACCCCAGAGTCTAGGCTGTCGATATCCCCCGACCGCCCTTCATTTCTGGCCTGGACGCCCATCCTCTCGGCCCCCGGCGCTGGAGGGTGACGGGCCACAGTGCACAAGATCATTAAGGGCATGTGGCTGGAGCTGGGCAGGAACCCTGGTCAGTCTCTTTCCAGACCATGAAGGCCAATGGAGCCCATGCTCAGGCCACCAAAGGACCGAGAGAAACATTTAGGGGGAGAATTTGATATTTCCTATTTCCCCAAATTATTCCGGTTATTATAGGGAAAAAAGTAGAACCGTAATAGCCTTTCTTGCCTTTATTTTGTGATTTAGTGTTGGTTGCGAAGTATATATCGGGGGGGGGGGGGTCCCTGTGCTTTTATTAGTGCTTGGGACCTCGGTGCCTAACTGGCTGGACACCCACCCGTGTTCCTGTCCGTCCACCCACCCATTTTTCACCCGCTCGCTGCTTTGTCCACCTGGCCCTCCTGCTGGCTCATCAGATCCCTCTCCTCCCCCTTCCCATTCCTTTGGCCACTCGCCCCTAGTTTTCTATCCATCTGTCTCAGTCCGCTCAGGCTGACATCACGAAACACCGGAGACTGGGGGTTTAAAACCACAGACATGATTTATTTTCTCTTGGTTCTGGAAGCTACCAAGGTGCTGGCAGGGTTTGGTTTCTGGTGAGAAATCTCTTGGCGTTCAGACAGCTGCCTTCTCATGGCTGAGAGAGAGATCTCTCTCTCTCTTCTCATAAGGCCACCAATCCTGTCGGACCAGGGCCCCATCCTTATGACCCCATTTAACCATAAGGATGTCCTGAAAACCCTGTCTCCATATACAGTCACACTGGTGGCTAGGGATTCCACATATGAATTTGGAGGGGACACAATTCAACCCATAGGGCTGCTCCCTCCCACCCCCCTCCCATTTCCCCTCCTGCCCATCCCTGTCCCTCTGCCTACCCCTCCCTGTCGTCCCCCTTTTCATCCACTCTTCCACCCGTCCATCAAACAATCGTTTATTGCTCCTTTTTTTTTTCTTTATTGATTTTAGAGACAGAGGAAGGGAGAGGGAGAGAGTTAGAAACATCAATAAGAGAGAGCTTGGACTGGCACCTCTAGCTTGTCCCCTACTGGGGATTTGGCCCACAACCTGGGTATGTGCCATGACGGGGAATCGAACCAGCAACCCCTTGGTGCATGGGTCGATGCTCAACCCCTGAGCCACACTGGCTGGGCATATTGCTCCTTCTTACAGTGAGTCACCTTTCCAGCTTTTTCTCCCTTGGCCTTTCTACAGGAGCTGCTGTGCTTGATGTCCTCTGAACCTCCTGTGAGCTTTCAAGTCTCTGGACCTTTGTCCATGCCTGTGGGCCCCGGATGCCCTCCCCCACTGTCTCCACCTGCTGAGCCCTGGCACCCTCCTCTGCGGAGCCTGGCCTCCCGGTGCCGTGTGGCTGGTTGCACACGGCTTCCCAGGCCAAGTGCAGCCAGGGCTCTGGGGTGGTGTGTCCCCCAGTACTCTGTGACTTTCCTGAGACACAGTCCCAGCTGCAGGGAGAGAGACAAACACTTCCTCCCCACATCCGCCAGCCCCGTGGGGTCTTGATTCTGGTCCCAGGCTCTCTCTGCTTAGGCACTGTGACTTGGGAAGAGGGACTCCCTTTCCCCCACGTTCCTTCTGCAAGGCCCAGGGACTTGGGGTGGCTACATAACTCATGCTGCTGTGGTGGGAGGGGCATTTTGGTGGAGTTTTATTGACCCTGTGCTTCTGGGCAGACAGGAGAGGAAAAACGAAAAACCCACAAAAACCCCTTCCTCCGTCTCTGGGGGAAATTTCTGACATTTTGTCCGCCCTCTGCCATCAGCACTCAGCTGTGTGACAGGGTTTGTGCGGGGGCGGGTTGCGGAGGAAGGAAGCAGGGAGACCTTTGAAATTGAAAAGTTTAGATGTCATCAAATCCCTCCTTTGGCCCGGGCCTCTAATGCCCTGTTTAGCATCCTTGACAGCTGATCCCCAGCCCTCTGCTTACACACCCTCAGTGATGGGGAGCTCACTCACTGCTTCATAACAATGATGAACGTGGATGGAGCATGCTCCATGCCAGTCACACTGCTAAGCCCTTTACTTACATATTAGCTCACTGAACCGGATAGGAAACCCAGAGAGGAAACTTGGACATGGTGGGGTTCAGGGATTTGTCCATGGTCATGGGCTAGTACGAGGCTCAGGTGGGGCTCCAATGTGGCTCTCAAACTCAGAACCCCAAACCCCTCAGTCTTATTTGGTGCTGACCCCCAAGGCATTGCATTTGGGAGGCAGCAGGTCATACCAGAGAAGACCCAAACCCCTGGCTGTTTTGCACCATCGGCTTCCTGCTTTTGCCCAGACTTGATGCCCGTAGGGAGGGGCCTCCCTGCAGATGGTCAAGGCCTGCCCATGTGGGGGACCATGGGAAGCCAGGCCTGGTGTTAGGCAGAGAGCATGGTTTGTTTGGGGCCACGCGAGTGTGTCCCACCTTGTCCCAGGAGCTGAGGGTTCCTCCCAGGGCTATGAGCAGGAAGGAGGAGGGGGAGGGGGCCTCCCTGCCTTCCCTGCCCTTGGCCAAGCTTGGCTGGCCCGCAGTTCCCTTCCATGTCTGCAGTTCTCCAAGGAAACAGGAGAAACACCAGACAAGCCTCTTTCAGCCCCAATTCTAAAGCCAAGGAGAAAACATCGCATGGTTCAGATGAATCCAGATGTTCATCTCTGCTCTGGTTCCCAAAGCCAGGACTGCCCGGGACCGCTCCTGGGGGAGGAGGTTTCCCTGGAAGGGCAGCCTGTGGCCTGGGGGGCCCTTTCCGAGTATGTCTGCAGTGCAGGCTGTTAGAGTCTAGGGCACAGTCTCCTGGGGCCCTGAGCGGGTGGGGGCGTTCAGGGGGGCTTCCTGGAGGAGCCAGCATCTGAAGGGGTGCCAGGCCAAGGTGGGAGGAGGTGTGCTCTGGGCAGAAGGCACAGAATATCCCAAGGCCTGGAGTGAGCACGGATGGGCCACTCAAGGGCTGGGCTTCATGTGGGAAGCGCAGGGGCGTGGGGGAGGGGAAGGCGGGGGCTGGTGGCCCAGACTCAGTGAGGCAGTTTCTGGGGCCAAAGTAGCTGGGGCGGGGTTGCCTAACCACCAACCCAAAGCTGAGCCAGAGGCGAGCCAGTGACAGAAATGTCGCAACAAACAGAATGTCTGGAGTCCAAAGGGCCCTGATCAGAGGGCGGGAGCAGGACACCGGGAACCAACTGTAGGAGCATCGCCACAGCTGGGGAGCCTTTCTCACTGTTTTGTTTCCGATTATGAAAGTGGTCCTCAGTGGAGAAGATCTCTGTGGAATGTGGGAACAGAAGAAAAGAGAAATGAGCCAACAATAATATTGCTTTTGCTCCGTCTGCGCCAGTTCCCGGGGCCTCTCTGCTCTCTGTGCTACCAAGCCTGTGCCACCCCCAGGGCCTTTGCATTCACGGTGCCCTCTGCCTGGAATGCCCTCCGCCTGGAATGCCCTCCCCCAGCCTCCTTCAGTCCCCTGGGCTCCAAGCCTGTGCCACCCCCAGGGCCTTTGCATTCACGGTGCCCTCTGCCTGGAATGCCCTCCCCCAGCCTCCTTCAGTCCCCTGGGCTCCAAGCCTGTGCCACCCCCAGGGCCTTTGCATTCATGGTGCCCTCTGCCTGGAATGCCCTCCCCCAGCCTCCTTCAGTCCCCTGGGCTCCAAGCCTGTGCCACCCCCAGGGCCTTTGCATTCATGGTGCCCTCTGCCTGGAATGCCCTCCCCCAGCCTCCTTCAGTCCCCGGGCTCCCTTTAACCCTTTCCACAACCCTAGGAGGTGCATCTGTTATTAACTTGCTGAAGTCCGTGAGGGCATTATAACTTGCCCACGGCCGCCCGGTGAGCAGGTGGCAGCCTGGAATCCCAGGCCCAGCTCTTCTCCTGCCTGCCAGCTGACCGTAGGCAAGGGCTGCCCTCAGGCATCTGCCTCTATCCACGCGAGTTGCGCGGACATGTTTGGGGTTTAGAGGTGTTGCTAGGAAGGGCTGCAGGGAAGGGAGGCGGAGGGGGCGGGTGGCCTCGGAGGGTTTGCCACAGTGGCCCGGCCTGGAGCTTCTCTGCCTTTTTCCCCAGGGCTGTCCCCGAAGCAGCTGTGTCCGCAGGGGCCATCCGACTGCAGGAAGCAGTGTGAGCCGGACTACTACCTGAACGGGCAGAACCGCTGCACGGCCTGTGTGAGCTGCGGAGGTGAGCCCTGCCCTCCCTGCAGGGGCCCCTTCCGGGGGGAGGAGTCCTCAGGGGAGAGGCGGTGAACCCCGAAGGTGGGGAGCAGCAGGATTTGGCCCCCTGGTGCCTCAGTTTGCCCCACTGGGCTTGGGAAATGAAATCAGCCATGGTCTTTTGCATCCATCCTTTTTGGAAAGACTTAGTGAACTTGTTTCCTCAAGGGAGGGAGTCACCTTTAATTTTTGCAACACCCAGAGGGGAAGATTCTGTTCTTACAGGGAGGAAACTGAGGCTTAGGGAGGTGAAGGGCCTTTCCAAAGTTACAAAACTCAGGCAAGTGGCTCAGCTCGTCTGCATGATGGTCTGACACCCGATCAGCGTTCTTTCCCTGAGACCACAGCAGCACCTTCCAGGAGAACTTTCAGTAAGCGCCGTGCTGCGGATTTCTTCTGATGGTGGCGAATGTGGTTTGTGCGCAGTCTGGTGTTTGTTTTGCTTTTGTGTGGGTTTTTTGGGGGGTGGGGTGGGGAAATTTGTTGAGATTTCTTGGCCTAGTGAATATTCATATTTCTTAGCATGTGTAGTGTGTTTGAAAAAAAAAAAGTATATTCTGTTTGTCCCATACAAAATTCTATGTATGCCTATTAAATCACGTTTCTTTTTTTTTTTTTATCTTTATTGTTGAATGTATTTCAGATGTTCCTCATTTCCCCCCTCATTGACCCCCCTCCTCCCCGTTCCCGCCCCCCTCCCACCTTTTCCCACACTATTGTCTGTGTCCATTGGTTAAGCATATAAATTCTTTGGTTTATTTCTTCCCACCCCCCAACCCCCTTCTCTTTGAGGTTTGTCAGTCTAGCAATGAATTTGTACTTCTTAATCCCTTCACCTTTTTCACCCATTCCCCCAGCCCCCCTCCCATCTGGCAACCAACAAAATGTTCTCTGTATCTATGAGAATGCTTCTGTTCTACCTGTTCATTTGGTTTGTAGATTCCATTGTCGATAGCTATGTATTCATTGCCATTTTGTTTGTTCATATATTTTATCTTTTTGTTCAAAAAGACCCTTCAACATTTCATATAATAACGGTTTGGTGGTGATGAACTCCTTTAACTTTTTCTTGTCTGGGAAACTCTTTATATGGCTATCGATTCTAAATGACAGCTTTGCACGATAGAGTAATCTTGGTTGTAGGTTCTTGCTTTTCATCACTCTGAATATTTCTTGCCACTCCCTTCTGGCCTGCAAAGTTTCTTTTGAGAAATCAGCTGACAGGCTTATGGGAACTCCCTTGTAGGTAACTAACTGCTTTTCTCTTGCTGCTTTTAAGATTCTCTCTTTGTCTTGAACCTTTTGCATTTTGATGATGATGTGTCTTGGTGTGGGCCTCTTAGGGTTCATCTTGTTTGGGACTCTCTGTGCTTCCTGGACTTGTATGTCTGTTTCCTTCACCAAGTTAGGGAAGTTTTCTGCTATTATTGTTTCAAACAGGTTTTCAATTTCTTGTTCTCTCTCTTCTCCTTCTGGCACCCCCAAGATGTGAATGTTGGCACGCTTGAAGTTGTCTCAGAGGCTCCTGACACTATCCTCATTTTTTGGGATTCTTTTTTCTTTTTGCTGTTCTGATTGGGTGTTTTTTGCTTCCTTATATTCCAAATCAATGGTTTGCTCCTTGGCTTTACCTACTCTACTATTGAATCTGTGTAAATTATTCTTTATTTCAGTTAGTGCCTCCTTCATTTCTGACTGGTCCTTTTTAATGCTCTTGAGGCCCTCACTAAGTTCATTGAGCATCCTTATAAGCAGTGTTTTGAACTCAGCATCTGTTAGGTTGCTTTTCTCCATTTCGCTTAGTTCTTTTCCTGGAGTTTTGTTCTCTTCTTTCATTTGGGACCTGTTTCTTTGTCTCCTCATTTTGGCTGCCTCCCTGTGTTTGTTTCTGTGTATTACTTAGCGAGAGGTATGGGCTAGCTGAGACCAGATGCTGCTTGTTTGAAAGAATTTAGGAAAACCTGAAGCAGGATCCAAGACAGGCCGATCCTATGGTTAAGCAACTGGCAACAGCTTGGGTGGGCCTGAAAGTTGGGAGGGGCGGGGCCTCAGGGAATCACCAGGGCGGGGCTACCAGTGTGAGCCAGGTTGCTGGAGTCCCAGGGAAGGGCTCACCAAAGGAACAAAGGCCTCTGACAGCACGTTTGTCCCGGAGAAAGCCCCCTCTCCAGCCCTCGTTCCAATGCCAAACAGCTCAGTTCTTCCCTGTATGTCTCTGGCGCCCCTCGAGCTGCCTCCACTCCAGAGGGAGTGGGTCCGATAAGTCCGTGCGCGGGCCCTTTAAGGAGCTGCCTGGGGCTCCAGCTGCCTCAGCCTCCCTGAGCCTCAGTTCCCGCTGGTTTTTCCAGCCAGAAGTTATGGGGATTCTCTTCCTGGCACTGGAACCCTGAGCGGGGCGCCTGGTGTGGGACAGGGACGCCTCAGTCCTCGGGGAGGACCTTCCCAGCCGAGGTGTCCTCCTGATTTTTTTTTTTTTTTTTCTGATTCTTTTTTTTTTTTTTTGTTCAGGTAGAGTGGGAGGGAGAGAGAGGAACAGAGAGAGAGAGAGAAACATCGATGTGAAGGGACACATCGAGTGGCTGCCACCCACACAACCGACCAGGGCCGGGGACAAACTGCAACCGAGGTACGTGCCCTTAGCGGGAACCGAACCCGGGTCTCTCAGGACCGCAGGCCGATGCTCTAACCACTGAGCCAAACAGGCCAGGGCTGTCCTCCTGATTTTTATCCACCACGTGTGGGTGTGGGACCAGCCTGTCGGCCCCGCCCCTCCTACCAGTCTCCATGTGGCTGCTGCTTTAATTCCGTAGCTGTAGGACTTCCATTCAGCTTGATTTCAGGCGGTTTTGAATGATGGTTGTTCTGTACTTCAGTTGTAACTGTGATGTGGTTGTGGGAGGACGTGATACCGTGTTTATCTACCCGCCACCTTGACCAGAAGTCTAGATCACGTTTCTTAATTGTGCTAGTTAAACAATACATATTCTTATTTTGTTTTGTGACCTTCACAAAGGTCGATTTCTAAGCTAGATGTGTTAAAACCTATCTTTCTATTCGTTGTTTATGTTAGCATTTTGCTGAAATAGCTTTAAACTTTTAAAATTAATGACTGCGGCCCAGCCAGTGTGGCTCAGTGGTTGAATGTCGATCCATGCACCAAGAGGTCACCGGTTTGATTCCCGGTCTGGACACATGCCCAGGTTGTGGGCCAGATCCCCAGTGGGGGGCATGCAGGAGGCGGCTAATTGATGCTCTCTCTCATCAATGTTTCTATCTCTCTCTCCCTCTCCCTTTCTCTCTAAAAAAGCAATAAAGGAAAAATAAATAAATTAATAACTGTATTTATTTACTTATTTATTTATTTATTTTTGGTAAGTGCCCCTAGCAGGAACCGAACCCGGGACTCTCTGGTCTGCAGGCCGACGCTCCAACCGCTGAGCCAAACCGGCCAGGGCAATAACTGCCTTTTATTAAGTGAAAGTTATATGTGTTCACTACAAAAAAATCAACCAATAGAAAAGCGTAAGGAAGCCAGCTCTGCCCCTCCCCCATCACTGAATGACCGACACTTCCTTGTATAGAAAGAAGAATGGTAGGTTAGTAGCTAGACTACACACATACAGAAAGAAGAAATTTTTAAGAGGATAAGGTCATACTATATGGCATTAAAATGACTACATTTATTTATTTATTTTTAAATTTTTATTTATTGATTGTTTTAGAGAGAGGAAAGGGGAGAGAGAGAGAAAGTGAGACATTGATTTATCGTTCCACTTATTTATGCATTCATTGATTGATCTTTGTATGTGCCTTGACTAGGGATGGAACCTGCAACCTTGGTGTATTGGGACAATGCTCCAACCAACTGAGCTACCCAGCCAGGGCCAGGACTTTTTCAGCTTCCCCACTGAACGCTAACTCCTCATCTGGCCCACCCCCCACCCCCAGTCTTTGGCAACTACCATTCTACTCTCTGTCTATGGATTTGACTACTCTAGGAAATTCATGTAAGTGGAATCATACAACTTTATCCTTTTGTGACTGGCTTATTCGCTTAGCATGTCCTCAAGGTGCATCAGCGTTGTAGCGTGTCAGAATTCCCTTCCTTCTTCAGGCTGAATAATATTCCGTTGTATGGACTGACCATATGTTGTTTATCCAGCCCTGTCAATGGACACGTGGGCTGTTCCATCTTGAGCTGTTGTGAATAATGCTGCTGTGGACATGGTTGTGCAAACACCTGTTCAGGTCCCGGCTTTCGATTCTTTTTAATTTTTTTTCTTTATTGATTTTAGAGAGAGAAGAAGGGAGAGGGAGAGAGAGAGAGAGAGAAACATCGATGAGAAAGAACATCGATTGGCTGCCTCCTGCGTGCCCCCCCACTGGGGTTCAGGCCCATAACCTGGGTATGTGCCCTGACTGGGAATTGAACCGGTGACCTCTTGGTGCATGGGTTGACTCTCAACCACTGAGCCACACTGCCTGGACCCAGCTTTCAATTCGTTTACCCGTATACTCAGCAGCGGAATCGCTGATCATATGGTAATTCTATGTTCAATTGTTGGGAGACTCCCGAGTGTTACTTTTGAAATTCATTGTAGGGGTCTGAGGGCCTAGGTGGGAGGCAGCAGATAGCCACCAGAGATGGGCGTCGTCCTTGCTGGGGCAGGGGTCTGCTTTCCATCTGTCAGCCTTTATCAGAGCTGCTGTTGCTTAGAATGGGGTGCCCCCTACTCACTCCCGGGGCTTCTGCTCATTTCCACAACTTGGCCCTGCTTCCGGAGCTGACAAGTCCAGGCGGTCTTTCCCCCCTCTGTCCAGGCCTGTGATGGGTGCGGGCTGCTTGCTACTTGGACCGTTTTCTCTTGAGTTGTCCAGGGAGTCTACTCACTGCCCTCAGCCAGCTTCTCTCCAGAGTTTTGAGAACTCAGAGGAATTTATTCACTCTTCAGTACAGCTTCTGGGGTG